AAAGTAGGAAGGGGAAATTTCTGAAAAACACAATTCAGTGTTGTAACTAAAGAGGAAGAAAATTTTGATCCCAAAACAAACTGGGAAAAGGCAAAAGAGCCAGTTTGAAATCCAGGGTCTAGTAAAGGAAAAATATGCATTTTCCATTTCCTGTATATGTAAAAATTTATACACAATTTATCATCATCATCTTCCCATTCATTCATGTACTATTGTTGTTCCTCTTTCACAGATCCCAAACCCTCAACCAACTAATTGTACTAAAACAATTTTAATTAAAAAAGAAAAAAAAGAAAAAAAGAAAAGGAAACAGAGAAACCAAAGATATGCTGGATTGTTCATAGATCCAAATCAATGGATAGGGAAGATTTTCCCTTTTTGGAATACTCAGATTGTTGTATTTGGGATCTTGATTGTAGAGAAGGGAATGGAGCTACAGCTTTCCCATGGGGGATGCTAGTGGAAGATTCATCTTGTACAGGACAATCCATGTTTACACCAAATAGGCGTAACCTCTTGGCCTCCGTTTTGACCTCTGCAACCGGAGCTGATGAATTAATCAACATTGGGACCCCGCCGCTGCCAACCGGAACCGACCCAATTTGGTATTGGTGGTGATGTGATGACCCAGATGACCCTAGATAGAACTGCCCTACATTGGCATAGGTAATTCCTTGCTGTTGATGGAGATGGGGGTGGTGGTGGTGGTTGTATGGGTAAATACTGTAATTCAATCGGTGTAAGGGCTCGTAGTTTGGCTGCGGCATGGAGACAGATTGCGGCAGCGAGTAGAGTCGATTCCCCCACCGGACCTGTTGAGGGAAGTTAAGCCGATTCGGAAATTGAATGTGTGCAAGGGTAGAAGGATCAGGTGCATCCGGGCGGCGCCGCCAATCAATGTACAATCTGTCCCTTCCCGATTCCCCAACGCCCCGCTGAAACGACACAATATCTCCGGGATCCAGCTTTTTCTCCTTGACAAAACGGCTCCACCCTTTAGTCATGACGTAGCTCTGGCTACTGTTCCAGTACGAGTAGCGGAACCGCCACGACTTTCCGTTCCGATCCTCGAAATTCAAGAGGAGGCCCTTTTCACTGGACGAAGAGTCGAGGGGGAAGTACCTTTCCGCGTGTTGTTTGGGTATCACAAGGCGGTTGAGCTTTCCCACATCGCTGGGAGTCACAACCTTATCAAACATGTGCTCTTTCTCGACGGTGTTGCTACTATCTCCGCCACCGCCACCACCGCCGTACACACTTCCTCCGCCGCCACTCCCATTGGATTCTTCATTGCTTCCTAGTGACAAGTCCATGAGCTCTAGTTTCTTGTCAAAATTGATATCTGACTTTTGGACTTTGTACTGATCTTCTTGAGAATTATCAAGGGAATCCAACAGCCATAGGTTCTGATGCTGCTTCTGCTGCTGCTGCTGCTGCTGATGATGATGATGATCAGGATTAACAACACCTTTGTACTTAGGAGAAGAGGAAGAAGAAAATGGGAAATCAGTTGCAGTGCTCTCCCCTATCACTCTCTCATCATCTTCTTCTTCATTATTACAATACCCTTTCTCCCCCTGCCCAAAGTTCATCGTGACCCGCCTCCAAATTAATTCACCTAATATTGTAAATATATATATATGATTCAGATCAAAATCCCACCATAGGATCAGTGGTGAAATTGCAAAAGTAGAAAGAAAAAAAAGAGTAGGTTTATCAAGCTATGATCCTTTATGGTAATATAAACTAACACAACATCCCATACTCTCCCCCACAAATCTGAATGATTTTCTCCCCCAGATCTTTGAAACCCAAGAGAAAGCTTACAGCTTTACAGAACTCAAAACCCTAAACAAGAGAAATCCATATGAAGAATCAAACAAAACCAAGTGGATTTTTTTTTTTTTCTGGTTGACCTAGCATTAGAAGAGAGGAAGAAAAAATTGAGACAAAGTAGGAATTAGGATAAACCCAGTTGAGGTACCTCACTCCCCTCTCCTCCCTCGAAAGGTTTTTTTTGGCAAACTGCAAAGTGAAGGGGAATAGTTTGGTTACTCATTTTTTTTGGATTAATTAAAGATTAAAGAAGGCATGTGAAATTGAGAAAGAGATAGGTAATGGTGCAATGCCCCTTACGTAGGGGCCCATGAATGATCTGGTTCGGCTCATGTGAGCTTGTCCTTTCAGCATTTTTGGTTTATTATCTCTCCATCTCTCCGCTATGTCCAAAATGCTAGTTGGTCCTATAAGCCAGCAGTCGTAGCAGTGCCCATCCCATGGAATTTGCCCGCAAGATTGCTCATTTTACATTATCATCATATTGTTGTTGTTTTAGTTACTAATAACACTTTTCTTCTTTTTATACACTAATGGTTTCATCATCATCAGATTCATACACTTAATACGAGAGAGAAAGGGGAGGGTAGTACTACATGTTCTAGCTAGTTAGATGTCGATAGTTTTGACTTTGTTGCGTCATTGATTGTAAGCTGCTGACCCTGCAAAGAGTGACAAAAGTTTAGGCGTGAACGTCGGTGGCGACACCTCCTCCCCTGAGGCTGTCAACCTTCGGCCGGTGCCGAAGATTCCTCAATTATTATAGATCAGCGCAGTGCTTCAGCCTCATAAAAAACTCATTTTGAGCATCTTGTATCGTTTTTTTAAAAAACGACTATGGCCAAATTGGGTACCTGTTGATTAGTTTCCGGAAGTGCAATGATAAATTTATGCTAATTTTGGGGACTAATTAATATAAAAACATTGATTGCTACACCATTTATTTTAATATATTATATAATCTATTTATTAAAAAATTATTATTTTTTAATATAAAATTAAAAACAAACAAATTTAAAAATATAATCATATATATACAATACCAAAAACTAACTAAATTATTTATACTTATAATATATTTTAATAACTGAACTTAATGGGTGTTAAAATGTGTGTTAAATCAAAAAGCTGCACTAATTATTTTCCTCAATATAATTAAAAGGGTAATTTAGTATCCTTAAGAGTTGGATTACTCGTAAGCAAATATCATTTAATGAGTAAAGTTCATAATTTAAGTTTTCAAGTTAACATCAAAAAAATTAATTTTTTTCAATAACATCTTATTGTAAATAAAAACAAAAAGAGTAATTTAACAGTTTGATTAATTCATAATGACATTTTTACTCTTTCTAAAACAATGATTTATTAAGAATAAAAAAAATGTTTTTCATGCTAAGAGTGACAATTTTTTTTTTTCAGGTGTTACCATCATGTGGAGAAAAAGGCTGATTCGATCAATTTTCAATGTCAAAAATTGTAGGCAGTTATACGACAAAATATGCCTTGCCATGCCGTCTGGTAATTGAGTACTAGTTAGATTTTACAATTTAAGAAAACGTGTGTGATTTAGCCAAAAAGTCTTCTCTGTTTTTGCTTACGCATTAAATTATTAGTTATTACTACCATATACTATATATAAATTGGAAAAATTTTCAGCAGACGTTACTAGTACAAATAAGTAAATCATGGAAGTATGTACTAAGTCATAGGTGTGTCTTTTTTTTTTTTTTGGTACACAGGTCATAGGTGTGTATTTTATAAGAGTATTCATCTTTCTTGAATCATTGACAAAATGCAAAGGAGATCGTGGAGTTCCAATTCGAACCCCACCCCAACCCCCTCCCCCACCCCCAAAAAAAAAAAGAAGATAAATGAAAAATGATCCAAAGAGTGAAAACAAAATCCAAGAAATTAACACTAATTAAAAAGCCAGGACAGAGGATACATATTAAAACAATTCATATTAATGCAAAAGTGAAAATTATAATAATACAGAAAATATATAGAGTGGGGGACAATATATGAAGATTATGTGGTATATTATACTTTTCATAGCATGGTCCAACTTCAGCAATTTAAAAAAAAAAAAAAAAAAAAGAAGAAGAAACATCATTCGTATATATCAGGTACAATATTGTTTTCAATATTTATCTTCTTTTAGTTTATATAAATTAATTAATTAATTTGTTTTTGGTAGGAGTTGAGAGTTACTGTATATAGATAATTGGTTTGAAAATTGAATTAGAGTTTTACGCGTCTAGTTGAACTGGAACGAATACAATAAGTTGCAGAAAAAAAGTCATTTTCTGAACAAACATAAGTATAGATCCAGCCGGATGGCTGTGCCCATATTCATTTTTTGTGGTCCAATTAGACCTTCCACTTTATGGGGCTGTACGTACACATTACAGAAACCTCCACAAAACCACCTCGTTTTTCTTGTTTTTGATTCATTTTTGCATTCAGTCCATATTTTTATGTGACAAAAAATAAATAGTTTATATAATTAATTAGTGGATCCATGAATTAATAGAGAAATGCAGAAAAAACTATACTAAAAAAGTAGTAATTGATAGTACTGTTTCTTTACCATCTTCATCTCACTTATTTTATATATATATAAATAAATTGTAATAATTAAAAGTAAATAAATATTAATATTTTATATCAATGTAATATGTAAAATTTATATATATATGAGAATTTTTGTAATCATTAAATGAAGAGTAAACCCCTTGATAATGAAAGTTCTTCTTACATTTAATCATTTTTGTTTTATAATTTAAATAATAAAATATAAGATTGATGTATTTTTTTTTTCTTCTTAATTAATTAATTGGTTGACCGGGCCCTACGGTAGATACAGTGCATCATCAGCTAACGTGCTTAAATTAAATGGATAAATTCAATAGTTATGTACAAACAGGGAGTAAGTAACGTTTATCGAGAATTTTACGAGGAAATATATATATCATGTGTTAACATCAAAACCCTCAACCCCAGTGGCTTCCTGCGCCTGTGCTGCGCCCCTGCATGCCCTTTTAAAGTTAAAGCTACTCCCATAACTAAAGCAGCCCTAAACAAAAACCCTATTGCTATAGTGCTATTGGGGACCTCTTTTTTTCTTTTTTCCTTCTCTAAGTATCTTTTTCATCATTTATTCAGATGAAAGCCATATTTTCTCTCCCATTTGTAGTTAATAATTTTTTCGGGTACAGTAAGAGTTTTAAACTATGGGATTTAATTAATATGTATATTTTTTATTTTTTTTAATGTTGGTAGTAGTAGTAGTAATTAGAGACACTGGCAAGCGAACTGTTATTGATAAGGTACAGTGGTGTAGCCCCATAGGTTTAGGACCACCTCCTCGATCTCTTTATAACTATAGGGTACCCTTCCCCCCAACCAGACTAACTCACCACCGTCCAGTTGGCGGTTATCTTGTTTCATATATGCTCCTGTACTATTCTTTCGCTGGCCCTTTGTCCCCATCCCCCCAGATCCACCATCATTTTCCACTCACTCATCACCCCCTTCCTTCTTCTTTCAACTTCAACCCCCTCCATTATTATTACTGATATGTATCATGGAATTCCTCCTGTCTTTCTCATCAACAGCTCTATATATATTTACTCTGCTTTTTTACTGAAAAGTTTTAAGTTCAAACTTTTATCTTAACATCAAAAATTATTATACATGCACATACATATGTACTTTAAATTGAAAAATATAAAACAAACTAGGGTTTTGCTTTGCAGAGGAAATTAAAGTTGATATGAAGCCAAATTTAATAAAAATCACCTGATTTGATTGAAATCAGGAAATCAATGGAAGTTAAATTACAGATAAATTATTGTTTGATCAGATTAAAAGTGGGACCATTATGTAAGGGTAGAATCTAGCTAGAGGGATTAATTCAGGCCAACAAAATTAACCTGCAGGTAACTGAAAAAGGGAAAGGACAGCCAAATAGTTCCTTTTCTAATTATATGGGCAGACTTAGGGACTGCAGCAGCAATATCAGAAACAGAAGCTGGAACCCCAACATATTCTACTTTTTTTTTCTTTTTTTTTGAATATTTTGACAGGAAACGGGTTCGAAACCGTCTAGGAGAAAGGGGAATGCACCTAACAAACTGGTTAATGCCAGTGGGCCTCTAGGCCCAGATGCAACATATTCTACTAATTAATTAATTAGTTAATATTATAAAAAATAATTTTAATATATGCCTCTATATGAATATCTTGTTTTCTTAATAATTATATTGTATAATATATTTTAAAAAATGGGTATAAATTATTGTCTTTATTTTCTATATATATATATAGCCTCAGACTAGCTAGAGAAGCCTATGTATGTAAGTGGACCAGGGCTTCTCTATCTGATCAAAACCGTTGAGGCTGGGCCGTTGGGTCGCTTTCTTTAATTTCCATAGCCCTGCTAATGCAATAGCTACCCTCTCTTTACCTTCTTCGTGCTTTCTGGTGCCAATTAATAAGCAGTACTCTATATAAAAATAATTTTCTAGATAATATAAAGTCACACCCTTTTTTTTGGGGGTTTAACTTTTGGACTGCACCCCGGTACCTATGTGTCATTATATAATAAAAGCAAGCACAATTAGCTTTTTCTGCCAAGCTGTAACCACTAATCTTGCATGTATGCCTTGAACTCGGTTTGGTGGCAACTTATGTGTGTGCATAATGTGACAGATGCAGCAGTAACTACTGCAGCATGGTTTCCCCGAATCCAGACAAAATAATTAAGCAACTCTTTAATTTGTTTCTTTCTTTTTTTGAAACTGATGTAAATTAGAAAGCAAAGTCTTTTTAGTATCACATGCTTTTAACCTTGTTTAGATCATTTTTTGGAGTCGATTCTTTGAATTGGAAGATTGAAATTCACACAAGTAATAAATTGATAAAACGTGAAAGTCATTAAATTTTTATTTATTAAAAAAATCTATTTTAATTTTTAAAAGTTTCAAGAAATTTAATTTATAAAAATAAAAGTCATAAGCACTTCTAAGGCTAATAATGAGAAAGTAATCTCAGGATTTTCCTAATTCTAGTGTAGATGCTTTTGCTTTTAATTGAATGCAAAAGAAATTAATCTTGAAGTGTATGTAAATTGATTTGAAAACATATTACCTTAAATAAATAAATA